GTGCGGTCCGGGCCGCGCCCCGGGCTGTCCTGCAGGCCGCCGTGCTAAGCCACAGGCAGGTGAAGGGGGCTGGCTGGGGGCGTGCGCCCTTCCCATCTGGGGCTAGCCCTTTTGAGAGGGCAGGGGCTGGGCACCGGCTCTTCTTCCTCGTGCCCTGACTCAGGGAGCGAGGGCTCAGTGCTCAGTTCGGGCCTCCCTCCTGCTCCTGGCTGTCCAGGGGAGGCTGCGGCAGGGTCGCTGCAGAACAGCTTGAGGCCCTTCGTGCCGCTGCGCGCCTTGTAGGGCTGCGGAGCAAAGCCAGGGCGATAAGCACAGGGGCTGGTTCCAGGGCGATAAGCACAGGCCGATCACCCTATGGCAGGGGGGGGAAACCGAGGCACGGGCCTGGCCCAAGGAGTCTCTGGGGGAGCTGGGAAAAGAACCCAGGAGTTCTCATCCCTGGCTACAGCTTGAGGCCCTTCGTGCCGCTGCGCGCCTTGTAGGGCTGCGGAGCAAAGCCAGGGCGATAAGCACAGGGGCTGGTTCCAGGGCGATAAGCACAGGCCGATCACCCTATGGCAGGGGGGGGAAACCGAGGCACGGGCCTGGCCCAAGGAGTCTCTGGGGGAGCTGGGAAAAGAACCCAGGAGTTCTCATCCCTGGCTCCTGGCTCTCACCACTAGGACTCACTTCCCTCCCAGAGCTGGGATAGAGCCAGCCCTCCCCTCCCATTACACCTCGATCTCTGATTGCTGGGAACAGAGCCCTGGAGTCCCGTCCCGCAGGCCCCTCTGCTCATCCACTCAACTCCAGGAGCCCAGACTCCCAGCCTCCCTTTCGCTACGTGCCCTGCGCTGCTGGGGTTCCTACCGCCCCTTCCACCCCAAAAGGCTTTGCACCAAAGGGCTTTGCATCCTGGTGGAACCCTCCGGATGTCTGCTGGGATTACAGCAGGGATGGATCGGGCCCCCTGTTTGGGCAGGGGTGGCTTCACTGGCAGCGGAGGCCGCGAGGGTGCCAGCCAGGTGGCAGCCACGCCCCCTTGGAACGCCCTGGCCGCCCTCACCTTGATGCAGAAGCTGAAGTCGGTGGGCGTGCCGTAGTGCTTTTTGCCGTGGGTGAGGAAGTAGACGTTGGACTCGTTGAGGTCAGCGAAATACTGAAGGTGCCGTGGGTCCTGGGAGAGGAATCCGAGGATCAGAGAATCTCAGAGACCTCAGGAGTCCAGCCCCCTGCCCAAAGCAGGACCAACCCCAATTCAATCATCCCAGCCAGAGCTCTGTCAGGCCAGGACTTAAACACCTCTAGGTGGGAGATTCCGTCACCTCCCTAGGGAACCTATCCCAGTATTCCTTGCAGGAGGGGTAATGGTAGTTCCAATTAGGAGCTTTAATTCGAACTACCTAGTCCGTGCTGCGTGTAGCCACGGGCAGGCCATTCGAACTACGGGCATTTAAAAATGGCGCCCGCTCGGGAACATGCAAATGAAGCCTGGGATATTTAAATCCCGGGCTTCATTTGCAAGTTCGAATGCCTACGTTAGCCACCCTAGTTCGAACTAGGGTGGCAGTTTAGAGAGACCATTAGTCAGCAGCCGCCACCCAGCTCGGAAGGCAGCAGCACAGCAGGAAGGGCAACATGGACATGGTGTTGCTACCTTTCCTTCTGCGCTGCTGCTGGCGAGCGTTCCAACCACGGCTCTCCAGCTGCCCAAACCGTGGCCCTCCCCAAATCACCTTGTGATCCCCCACAACTCCCCTTTGGGTCAGGACCCCCAATTTAAAAAATACTGGTCTTCCTCCTGGAATCTGTATCGTACAGGGTAAAAGCCCACTCAAGGCCAGATTTCACGGTGCGTGACGTATTTTGTATAGCCGTGAATTTGGGCCCTGCACATGCGTATGTCTATGTAGCACCAACAGGGCACTCAGCCAGGAGAAAAGCCTACTACTGCTACCAGCCAAAGGAGCTATTACTTTAGTCTAAGTAACGTCCAACCCACGTTTTGAGCTTACTATCCAGGGTTCAAGGTTAGGACCACTCCACCTCGAGTAACTAAGAACTAGCCACGTCTATAGGAAACCCTAGGCCATAGGATGTCTTCAGCCCCGCCCCTTCCGTGGTGCCCCCTAGTGGTGGCGGGAAGCTCACCTCCAGCCCCGGAGGAAGGAAAGGGTCAGATCAGCCTCACCTTGGATGTGCCCTTCGTGGAGTAGTAAAGCCCTGAGCGCCGGAGGGAGAAGTAAAACCTCTTCCAGACCTTGCGCCCCACTTCCTTCAGGTGCAGGAAGCCCTGGATCTCTGGGCAGCTGCCGGAATTGAGGAAGTTCTGCAGGAGAGGAGTGGTCGGGCCGGGGGTGAGCGCGAGAAGAGAATGGAACTGAACGGGCCCCACAGTGAGAGGCGCCCAGACACTCCAGCTCTTACGCTGCACGGTGGGTTCATCCCCGGCGCCTTCCCCCCCGCCCCTCCACAGCCTCCCGCGGGGCCTGTGATTCGGGGGAAGCTGCTTGTGGGTGACGCTTAGAGCCGGCTTCCTGCTGCAACCCACATGGCCTAGAGTCAGGACAGGGCGCCGGGAGGGGAGTGGAGCAGCGCATACCTGGATGAGCTCCGAATGGGACATGCCCTTGTTGGCATCCAAGCAGCTGGAGACCATGACCTCGGGGAACAGGGACTGCTGGGATTATGGAGAGAGACAATGGTTAGCGGGGTGCTCTGCCCTGGAAAGGCTTTGCACCCTAGCAGTGCCCAGTGCCTGGCCGGGTGGCAGATGGGTTCCCCAGGGATCCGGACCAGTGAGTTCACGAGTGGATGAGCTCCCAGCGCATTGGGCAGCTGCCATGCATCCGCTGCCACGAATCTCCTGCACCAAGGGCGTGGATGTCTAGTCTAGCTGCTTTAGTATGTTCAAAGATCATCCCCAACTGGGCAGCTCTGGGAATGGGGGGGTTCTTGGTCATCCCCAGCACAGGAGATCCTAGAATCCTAGAACGGGAAGGGGCCTCAAGAGGTCATCAAGTCCAGTCCCCTGCCCCTCACAGCAGGACCATGCGCTGTCTAGACCAGTGTTTCTTAAACCGTGTTCCGCGGCACACCAGTGTGCCATGAGGCCGTCGGAGATGTGCCGCGGAGGACAGAATTCAAAATGGCTGTCCTTAAAGGGGCAGGCGACTTTTTTTTTTCTCAATAATTTCCTCCCAACCCTTCTCCCCTCCCCCCCGACTTTTTTTTTTCCTCAACAAAAAATCCTTGGGGTTCCTCATAAAAAAATGATTGTTTGGTGTTCCTCGGTCTTAAAATGTTGAAGAAACATTGATCTAGACCATGCCTAGTAGGTGTCTGTCTAACCAGTGATAAAGATTCCACAGTCTCCCCAAGGCAATTTATTCCAGTGTTTAACCACCCTGACAGTTAGGAACTTTTTCCTAATGTCCAACCTAAACCTCCCTTGCTGCAGTTTAAGCCCATTGCTTCTTGTCCTGTCCTCAGAGGCCAAGGAGAACAATTTTTCTCCCTCCTCCTTGTACTTGTAGGTACTTGAAAGCTACTGTCATGTCCCTTCTCAGTCTTCTCTTTTCCAAACTAATCCAGCCCAATTCTTTCAGCCTTCCCTCCTAGGTTTCTAGACCTTTCATCATTTGTGTGTTGCTCTTCTCTGGTCCTTCTCCAATGTCTCCCCAGCTTCCTTGAAATGCGGTGCCCAGAACTGGACACAACGCTCCACCTGAGGCCCAATCAGCGCAGAGCAGAGCGGAGCGGAGCGGAAGAACTTCACTGCTCGTGTCTTGCTCACAAAGATGCAGGGACACACGTGGCTCTCCCCCGCTGGGAAAGGCCAGTTCCCCCGTCCTCCCCCAGGTCATACTAGGTTGGGTCCCCCAGCAGGAAGGGCGGCAGGTACTTACTGGTGAGCTTTTGAATAGCTCGTACTTGGCAAAGTTCTTCCGAAAGACAAATCTGCTGTCTCCTCCGATGGGCCAGGTGGCCTGGACCTCCACTACTGACTCGTGGTCTTCCAGGCACCGCTCTGGGGGGAGCAAGCCACAGGGTCAGGGAGGCACCCTGCCAACCCTCCTGCAACACTGGCTCAGCCTGGCTCTTCCTGGCAGCCAGCCTTCCCCCCCCTCCCCACCAGGCTGTGATTGCATTTGGGCAATGCATGTCTCCTTCCTCCCCCCCCAGCCTCTGTTTGCATACATGCCCTGGTGGCCAAGGGCACAAGCTGCCGTGCGAGGCTCCCCTGGAGCGTCCATGCCTCCTCCTCACCCAGGCCCAGATGCTGATGAAGCTCCACCAGGGACCAGCTGTCGTCATGGAGGGCGTGAGTCTTCTGCACCAGCATCTCGCAGACGTGGCGGGCCGGGGCGCCTGCCGTGACCTCCATTGAGCGGCACGTGCCATCTTCGCTGAAGACCTTTATCACCTGGGGGGCAGAGGCCGCGCCGGGTTCATCCCCGCCACGCTCCCAGGATCGATCCCTGGAGGGCAGGGTCCCCCGATCCAGAGCTCCGTGACACCCTGGTGCTTTAGCTCATCAACCCTCTGCAGAGAATCAGCTGCCACCTCCTCTCGGGACCTATCTCCCATGTGGGGCCGCCCGCCCCTCTCTGGTGTCCAGCAGGGGTGGGTGCGCTGCTGCGCCCGGCTGCCGGGGGTGCTTGGTGCTTTCGGGGGGCATCGTTCGGCACACGAGGGGTTAACGTGATTGCCCGAGGAGGTGTCAGGTGGGACGCGCTGGGAAGTTTCCAAGGGTGCCTGGAAACGGGCCCACCTTTAATTGCAAGCTGGCGAGTGCCTGGGCCACAGAAACACACCAGGATTCCATGCCGACCGTCCCTATGGGAACCAACCGTCGGCCTTGTCAAGCCCCGTCCTGCCCAGCCGCCCTGGAGTGTTTCGGGCAGGACAGCCCCAGCTCAGGAGTTTGGGGGGCATGTGCACCATCAGTATTGGGGGGAATGAGTCGCCCAGGGGCAAACGGCAGGTCAGTGCGTGGGCGGTGGGTCATGCAGGCAGGGGAAGGTGTTGCCTTCCCAACCCGCTAGATTGACCCCACCCAGACTCCGCCCCCCCAAACAACTACTGTATGCGAACTGGGGGCAGAGGGTTGCTGCCCCCCGGCGTCCACCCTCCCCATGCTCTGGGGCCGGGGAGGCTGGGGCCATGCGCTATCCTCCCTCCTCGTGCTCTGGGTCTAAGGTGGTGGCTGGGACCGTGTGCTGCCCACCCTGCCCAAACTCCAGGGCCAGGGAGGCTGGGGACATGTGCTGCCCGCCCTCCCTGTAGAGCTGGGCGGGGGAGGGACTTGGTTCCTGTGGGTACAGGGCCTGGGCAAAAGGGATGAGGCTGGGATTGCCTTCCCCAGCCCTATTTTCACCTACCCATGCAGGTTTCCTTTTACCCATGCAGGTTTCCCTGTACCTGATTGAGAATCACTGTTGTTAGGGTCTCTCACCAAAGGCTCTTAAACAAGTAAGCTGTCATGGGCTAGGAGGGATGGTCCTTTCATAGATTGATAACTGGTTAAAAGGAAACAAAAGGCAGGAATAAATGGTCAGTTTTCATAATGGAGAGTGGTAACTAATGGTGTCCCTCAGGGGTCTGTATTGGGACCAATCCCGTAAATGATCTGGAGAAAGGAGTAAACAGTGAGGTGGCAAAATTTGCAGATGACACAAAACTGTGAAGAGCATCAAAAGGATCTCACAAAACTAAGTGACTGGGCAACAAAATGGAGAATGAATTTTAACATTGATACATGCAAAGTAATGCATATTGAAAAATATAACCCCAACTCTATGTACAAAATGATGGGGACTAAATTAGCTATTATCACTCAAGAGAGAGATCTTGAAATTATGGTGGCTAGTTCTTTGAAAACAATGTGCAGCAGCAGTCAAAAAAGCAAACAGAATGTTAGGAATCATTTAAAAAGGGATAGAGAGTAAGACAGAATATTTTAGTGCCTCTATGGCTGTGTCTACATTGGCACCCTTTTCCGGAAAAGGGATGCTAATGAGACAAGTCGGAATTGCAAATGCTGCGGGGGATTTAAATATCCCCCGCGGCATTTGCATGAACAGGGCTGCCGCTTTTTTCCGGCTCGGGGCTTTGCCGGAGAAAAGCGCCAGTCTAGACGGGATCTTTCGGAAAATAAAGTCTTTTCCAGAAGATTCCTTATTCCTGATTTTAAGAGGAATAAGGGATCTTCCGGAAAATACTTTATTTTCCGAAAGATCCCGTCTAGACTGGCGCCTTTCTCTGGCAAAGCCCCAAGCCGGAAAAAAGCGGCAGCCAAGTTCATGCAATTGCCGACGGGGGGGAT